TCTTATCTTCTATTAATCCCGAATGTCCGTTTACTTTGATAACGACCAAGGTTAAATAACATATTATTACACGAATATATAAACATAATTATTGATTAGTTTAACACAACACGTCTTCAGAATATTGTTATTTCTTGTTCGAAAATAAAAAAATACATAATTGTTATCTAAATCTAATTCAATAATCAGCATTTTTTTATATACTTCATTTACTTTATTACGATTTTAATAATTTAATTGATATATTAAAAGTTCAATTTATTAAATACAAAAAAAAAATGAAGTATTCAGAAGTATTTATTCATTTCCTATAAATGTAAAATATAGAATGAAAGATCTTTAGAATCTGTAGATTTGAAAAGTTAAAAATAAAAGTTAAAACAAAAATATCGATTGAAACTTACTTATGTTAAAATAATTTAATCGGATAATGAACAAGTCAGTAATATCAGGGAAATAAATATCTCATTTTATTTCATCTAATAAGGCCAACTTAAATTGCTTGTAACTTAATAAATAATATTCTATTGATATTTTTGCGTTTGTTTTGGCTTCTTTCAAGATGTTGAAAATTCATTTCAACACCTTGTATACATATCTATATACCAACATTACAGTTAAGTTAATTTTTAATTTTCAGCGTCTAAATCGACTCAATACCGACAAACATGGCTGTGCAAACGTCTCATTTGGAGGCTATCCAAGCGCTACCTGGCGACACACCCGGCGAGAAATACAGATGGATAAGCGATCTAATAAAAGAACGATTGTCCGAGTCGAACAGCCTGGAAGAGGTGATCGAATCCGAGAAGATTCCCAGGCCGCTCGTATCTTTTGTTCAAATACACGCGGCTATGATGTTGAACAAAAAGAATCCAAATGATCAGAGCACCTATGCGGCTATAGCGGAGGCTCTCAAGTCCAGAGACGAAATAATCGTGAATAAAGCGTTACAGGCGAACAATTTTTTCAATGGAACCAACGAATATATAACTAATGTTCAGTACTTTTTCAACTACCTCTTTCCATACGTTTCTTTAAACACCAGAAGGCGAATCATCAATGTTTTAGCCTCTCGACTGGCGTCCAAGAATCCTGCCCTGGCCGAAGAATTCTTCAAGGCGGTGGCTTCGTTTTACGGGCTGAAACAAGCGCTGCCGTTGCTACCAGCTTGTAGCGAGTCTTTCATGTACAACACTATCATAGAGAAAAGAATCGTTCTAAGTCGGAAGCTGATCAAGCAGATCTTCCGCAAGAATCCGGATTTCATCGTGCGCTACTTTAAATTGAGCGAGCAGAACGTCGATCCCTGCGAGAGGCGTCTTCATCCGATAAATATTTATAAGTTCAGCGACTTCCTGCCCAAATTGATCAAGAAGAGATTGGACTCGTTCGTGGAATTGTACGAGATGTTCGAGCCGAGAGTAACTCTCAGCAATCTGTGCGCAGAGGCGTTTCTGAAAAATGGCAAGGAGCATTTGCAGCAAAAACCCAAGCTGTATATCAAGATTCTTCCATTGAAAAGAATCAGTAATAACTGCATGGAAATCATATTTCCAAAATTATTCCCCACGAACATCGATAACTTCGAAACGGATAACATGTTGGATTACTTGGAGTACTATCGACAGGATAAAAAGCTCGATTTCTTCTTGAAATCTTACAAACAAGTATACGGTAAGAGTATCCTTGATGATTCGAGTAAAGTAACGGCGACGTTGCTGAAGATGTTACCTGTCAAGGAACGAATCAAACAGGCGAGAATCAAATTGCAAAGAGACAGCTCGGACGAGAGGATGGATTATACAATTTGTTGGAAATGTTACTTGCCCATCAATGAATCGATACCACAGTTGAAGGAACAGATAAGTACCACCTCGGAAATGGAGTATAGATCGGCACTAGTGTGTAAGATGATATATTCGTGCAAGGTGAACAACGATGACGAAGCTCTGTTAGAAACCATGATGTACATCAAGATCAGGCACAAGAACGAGCAAGGTTTGTTCCTGATGCAAGTGTTCGAGATATTGCTCAAGCTTTACGATCTTCCCCAAATGGGTGAGAATTTCTGGTCGATCTTGATGGATATAATCATGCGTGCCCACATAAAGGGGGATCTGAATATCAGAAACACGACCGGCGTGAGAATAGTGGAGGCCGCCATCCATCATAAAATTCTTCAATCCCAACCCATCTATCAGATGATCGAAATATTTATGGAATTAAAGATGATGAGCTACATGGACAACTGGAACATTCTTGAGAAATATTCCGAGTACGAAAGAACGTGTTTGGAGATTTGTATAACAATAGCTTCTCAGAAATATGATTCCGACCAGCAACCCTGGAAACAGAACAAAGTCGAGATGGTGTATAATCTGTGTTCTTCGATATATCATTTCAACGATACTCACATAAACAAAACCTATCGCGTGGAACGCATGTCGATCAAGAACTATCCTTGGCTGATGGGAAAAGTCAAGGAAATTTTGTCTGCGGATGACGAGAGACGCAATCAATACGTTATCGACAATCTAAAACGTATATTGACGAAACACGAACAAGATTTATACGAAAGTTTGGTGGTTGAAGAGATCGCGAGCGTGAGCAAAGGCGAGGCGTTAGAGGTTCTGAAAAGAAATCCAGAAAAGATTCTGGCTCATTGGAAGGAATACCTGGACGGATGTCAGGACATTTCGTACACGGAGCACACGATGCGATTCCTCAAGGCTTCGCGCTGGTACAACGAGATCCCAATCAAGTTCGTCGAGCAATCTCTCCAGGATTTGGCGAAGAAGAAGAAAGTCTGTAAGATCTTGGTCAACCTCGTGGACGGTGACACGTTCTCGAGAATCGTGGAACCGTTCGTTCCAACGGACAAATCGATAGACATACAAAACGAGGAGGCGAAAACTAATTACGAATTGATCGAGCACATTATCCATTGCATGATACTCGCGAATCCACCTGTTTCCCTGACCCTTCTGACCAAACTCTTCGAGGGAGACTACTTGTCGGTCGCTCTGGCGGCTCTGATAAATGTTTGCAGAAGAACGAACGCAATGGACACGATATCGTTCGCCAGAACGTTGGCCAATCAGAGGGTATCCGTTCGAAAGCACGGAATAAGATTGATGCATATGCTCGCGCCTCGCGATCAATTAATCAACTTCCTTCAAGCGCAGTGGGAGATCGAGGAGAATCACTCCATACGAGAAGTCTTGTTCTCCAAGAGTATGGAATTGTTCAGGGATGATCCCGAGTCGGTCACCTGGTCTCATCTCGCTTGTTTAATCTCCATGCTCACGCCGAAAGACGAACACTTGTTCTCGAACGTGTTGTCACTGATAAAACGTACTCCCAACGAGTACGTGATCGATTTCATGAAACTTGCCTTATACACGATCGACAAATTCGCGGAGGCGAATGAAATCGGGAAAGGAAAGATCACCCATTACGTCAAGTCATTCTTGAGCTCCATAGACGCGGGCATTTGCAATCTTCTGTCCGAAGATTTCTTCGAACAACTCGTGCGAAGGTTCTTCTTCCATCAAGATTCTGGGATCTCGAATTGCGCCATCAGGTACATAGTCGGCAATATGTTGCGCCTACCCGCGGATAAATTCGACAATCTGATGAAAATTATGTGCAACGTGTTGAAAGAGATTGTGAAGAGCGGTTGGGACGTGGCACATCCCGAAAATCCTTGTTTCTATCCGGTGAACGAGATTGTGTGTCGGTTCATCGACGACGTCGTTCATTATTCGTACTCTTTTCAACCTTCTGCAATTAAGTATCAACTGATCGACGGGATTCTGTCCACATTCCTAGTCGTTCTTACCCCACAAACGGACACGATGTCGTACTTGATGCTGGTATTCGCCAGGGAACAAATATCCTCGAAAACGCCCAAAGAGTTCGGGATGAATCTGGGCCAAAGGATTATCGAGCTGATCGAGATGTTCTCGATTCTCTTCATCTTTTACATGACTGATATTTTATGTAACATGCTGAGCGAGGTGAACTTATTCCAGGAATACAATAATAATTACGACACGATCGATATAAAATTGGAAGTGATAGAGGGATTGATAGAGATCGGATCGATCGAGGCTGGTATCGTTGCTGCCAAATTATCGGGCACCATCACGTTGGACGAATGTTCTGAAAGATACAACAATCTTATGATCAAGTTGTCCAAATATAATGATCCTGTGATCAAGGGTATAGTCTGTTCTATTATCAATAGAAAAAAGTTCTAGGGTGGATGGAAAAGATTTACAATTGGATTTATCAAATTTGAAAGAAGATAATCGATGAATTGATCACTGATGTTGATCGTTGATTATACTTTGTGTTATCGAGGAATTCGATCATGGTTTCTTAATCATGCGTATACGTTCTGCTATGGAAGAGTTGGATGGAAGAAAAATGACGAACAAACGGGTGATGTTCGATGAACGCGAGGCGTCTTGAACGATTGATCTTTGTCGTCAGTGAAAGTTGGAATAACATGATGTACAATTTGAGAGATTCGATAAAGAATCGTCGAATTATGGAGATATATTTTATCGTCAGATATATATTTTTATATTTTGCATATAATTTACATCGCGCTCAAAGAAAATAACATTTTAATCCGGAACATGATATGTGCATTTAATTATGCATTCAATATTGTACATACATATAAGGTATGCAATAAAATATTGTGCAAAGATCGAAGCGTTATCTTTTTTTCTCTATTTTATTTTATTGTATAATTATATTTCATTATATCTTCATTTTATAACAAATTATTTCATTTTATAACATATTAATATAACAAATTGTTAACATTTCTCCTCACATCCTTCCTTTATATCTAAATTAATCTATTTTCATTGAAAATTATTATTTTTTGTTTTTAATTTTACATTTACTTACTTTATTTTTATAGAAAATTAAATCATCGAAACGTATGAAATGGGAAAAATTAAAAAAGAAAAATAACTTACAAGAAGCGTCGAAACCAGTGATGAAATTTGGGCAAGAGACGTATGCAGTGGTTCCTGCTGGAGTATTAGGCCAGCAGGACCATCCATCAAAGGTCAACTGACAGTATGGCTCTGAAAAATAAAGAATATGTTAATACATAAATTAAGGAAGATTAATTATGATTAATTCTCTTATGAATTAATTTACTTTCATTATTAAAAAATATATCCATTTTTAAACTTTTTTATTAGTAATTATATGAAAGTATCTTAACGAGTATTCAATACATAAAATTAACGTGAATTTTTGATAATCTCTTCGTGGAAGAGATATATTTCGGATTCAAAATATACATGTAATACAAATGACACGATAAAAATGGCATATATTTATTTTCACATACAAAAAAATATTAAGTAAAATTATAAAAAATATTATAGAAATATTATATTATATAATTGTCTAATCTTACCAATGAATTCAATTTATAATTCAATTTTAAAATAATGAAAATATTAATTCTATCCTAAAATGTTTAATTTAATTCTGTATAGTAACATTCGATTAAATGTTATATTAATAATTGAAAAATATTGATGATGAAATTAAACATGAATCAACATCACTCTCGAATTAATTCCAAATAAATGACTGTTGATATAAATCAATGATTAATTCTTCTAACAAAAATAGATAATATAAATTTTATAATGAAAAGTCATGTATTTTCAGGCAAATTGAATATTATAAATTCATATTCATATGCCGGATTAAACGTAAATATCTAAATTATAGATATGCATACATGGGAATGAAACACATATCAATTCAACAAAATATTAAAAATACCTATTATTTATTGGTCAGAAAGAATCTTACGTTAAGATTAATAAAAATGAAATAAAATTTTATTTTTTTTTTCAGAATCTTGTAAAATAGATGAAAAATAATATTAAAAATTTTAAATCTGAAAAAAATTAAAAAGCTGGTGATTTTTTTCTTTTTTTGTTTTTCTTGAATAAACAAATACACATAAAAAAAAATAGGAAATTATAAGTTTCTAATTAAATTATAAACGATTAGAACTAAAAAGTTGCAACTAGTGTTTAAAGAATTAAACAAGTTCAAGAACAGAAGAACAGTGAATTCTTTCTTCTTCTGGGAAAGAATTTTTTACACAGAAATTCAATCAAAATCCCCGAATGACGAATCCTTCTTCCTACGATTACTATTTGAATAAAACGGAAACAGAAGTTTGGTTTCCTCTGACAAACAAATCTTTGATTCAAGCTTTGAAAACTTTTCTCTCTTTCAAAGAATTTTACGTCACAAGAATTTTTTTTTTTTATAGTACGAAATTTTCGCTTTTCATCTTTTTAAAATGAAAATAAAAAAAATTTTATTTTTTCTCTCTATTATATTTTATCTCTAGAAGACTACTATAAAATAGAACAATTTTAAACAAATATCACTGCTACGTTTATCGAAAATTTCAACGGTTCTAACAAGGATATTTTGAGTTAATAGACCATGAACGAACAATCGAAATTTTAATGTTTTAATGCCAAAAAAATGTTTCACTTTTATTTATATTATTAAACCTTAAAAAAAATCAAAAAAAATTTCAACCTTTTTTTTTTATATTTTACTTATATTCTACAAAATTGTGTGAATTTCATTTATTTTATTGTGTATATATTGTTATTTTATATTAAAAATTATTGTTTTAATAATAATAATATATATTTTTTGCCAATTCAAATCAGATGGAAATAAATGTGTTATTCTATGAATTTATATTTGAATTGAATATTCCTATTTGCTGCATTTATGCAAATATAATATAATATAAATGTATTAACATGTTATAATGAACAAAACTATTTTAAATATTCTATGCAATAGAATAATTAAACATATCATTAAATATAACAATAGATAAAGAAACAATAATATGATAAGATATAAAAGCATAATAAAATGGAATATTTCAAATGAATGAGATAATTCATAATTTTCATTTAAATAGAACATTACGTCAGAAAATAAATAAATAAAATAAATACTACTATGTGACGTAATAATCATGATTAGAACAATTATAAATAAAATAATATAATATAATAAATAAAATATAAAAAAAAATATTAAATTGTTTTGAAAATATAAAATTGGAAAAATAATATTTATTAATACTAGTATGCTAATCTTGGATAAAAATTTGACAATATTATATGATTGAATTTGATAAATATTATTGATTTATGAAACAGAATTCACTGATGAATTTTATTGATAATGTGTTAATAATAAATAATGTTTTAAATATAGATCCAATAAGGAAGAATAATATATTATAGATATATAATATAAAATAAATAAAAATATATATTAAATTAAAAAAATTACAAATTGTTTTCTATTTAAATAAATATATTCATTTTTTTTAAATTATACATGCACATATATTAAGAAAAAATAAAAATTGTTCGTTATAAATATCAATGTGTTTATATCATACATTTTTAATCATTTATTGATAAAAGCGGAAATCATAAATCAAATGATTATCTTTTTTTTTCAAATAATTTTTTTGTAGTATTTTATTATTGGAATACGTGTATTCACCATGATTATATGCATTAACCACGATCGATTTTCCTAACAGACCTTGCATTGCTTATTTTGAGACAACCTTAGAGGATGCTAATTAAATGATGAAATCATATTACGAAACAACTATTCGTAAACATTGTTCTATGAATTTCGTTTATTTTATCTTTGCATTTAAATAGATTTATATTATGAATATACATTGATAATATTTATAAATATTTTTGATAAATTCATTTATATCAAATTCATTTATTTATATACAAAAAAATAAAATTTAAATTTTCAAAATTTCAATTATATTTTCAAATAATACTATAACTTTAAATTTTTAAATTTTTAAATATTTTATATATTTTATATATTTCAATTGTTGAAATATGAAAGCTTTCAAAATTTCATTATTTAATAAAAGTTAGTTTAGTTTTTTTAAAAATTTCAATTTTTCTCTTATTAAGAGAAAAATTATTAAAATTATTAAAATTATTAGAAAAATATTCTATCAATGGAAAAACAATTTCTTAATCAATATAATAATCAATATAATTTCTTAATCAATAACAAATATCGACTCAAATACAATACAATACACAACAGATCTTTGTCTATTTTTACCCATATATATTCCTCCATTTCTCTGAAAAGCAATAATCCACAAGATTGTCCGCAGAATCCGTACTTCTAACCTTCATAGACTCGAACAAGTCGGTCAACATCTAGTCATTTTACTTGGCCACGTTATTGTACATTCTATTTCGAAATAATGAACCATTAACAATAAGATATCTCTGAAATGATGATCCTAACTTGAGACTACTGAATTTAACTCTGATTTTTTCAAGAAGCGAATTATTATCCGTATATTGCTTGTCTTTGCTATATGAACTTTCAAGATAATTGTTATCTTTCTTTTTTTCTTGTTTCATTTACAAAAAGAATAATATTAATATTTAAAATATCTATTTATATAATAGTATAATAGTATTAATATACTATTAATATAATAGTATATAATATATACTATTAATATAATCTATTATATAATAGTATTAATATTAATAATATAAAAATTAGAGAAAAAAGTTTCTTTGTTTTTGAGATATTACATAGGTAACTTATATATTAATGTGTATTTATAAATTAAAAAATTTATATCATAAATTATGAAATATTATTTACATAATGAATATTTACAGAAAGAATTCCTATTTTCTGAGAAGGAAAGAAAATTATCTTTATAAATTTTAAAGATAAGGTGCCATAATAATATGCATCTTTAAATAATAGATTTTATTTCATTTTGTTCTCGCAAGATTATTAGAAATTTCTAATTAATATAATGATGGATAATTATTCTAATAAGTTCTACATATATATATAAATCTATATATATATATATAGAACTTATTAGAATAATTATCCATTTTATCAAAACAATATTAATTTATTTTATTATAAAATTTTGTTCAAAATTTTTATTATTTTATGGCTTCAATATTCTTTTTATCCATTTTTAAATAATCGCTGATTAACAAATAATTATGATAATGATTGTAATTATAATTATAATAATTTGCTTATTTTTCTTTTTACATTAAACTTTCTTAATATTTAAATATACATATATTCATTTATTTATATAGATTTATACATATATAATATATATATATATACATATTATATACTATATACTATATACTATAGAGTATATAGTATACATATTATATATTATATTATATATTATATACTAAACTTTAGTATATTCATATACTAAAACTTTTTAAAAATTCCATATATTTTATCATTAAGGTCCTTAGTTTGCTTAATCCGCCCCTGAACTACTATAGTATACTTATCTTGATACGTCAACATAAATTATTTAAGTAATTCTCAAGAAGTCAAGTGATAGAAACAAGGATTATTCTACAGTCATATTCTCAGTCTTTAGTGTTTACTTGTGTAGGAAATACAAAAATGGAAAAATCTTTCTTTTTAAATTGATTTTTTTAAATTTAGTACATTGAACTTCTCTGGATAAAAAATATTTACGTGTTATCGTATCAATAAAAAAAAAGTGATGAAAAATACATTTTAATCGTTCTATATTAACTTAAATGTGATTAAAATATGAATCTACCATGAAATTAAACGTTTAATGAAATCTAATTAAACGTTGTTAATGAAATCTAAAATCAATTAACGGATTTGATGTGCATCTAATTTAATGAGATTTAATCATAAAGAAAATTAATAAGAATAAAAGAGTGCTGTGTAAGTTATATAAAAATTATAAATCGAATGTGTATTTTTTTACTTCTGTCTGTATGTAAAATGATGTGAATTTACAAATAAAAATCATACAGTTTAATGTATGAAGTATATATGTTTTCGATTCTAAATTTTTTCGAATTTTTTCAAATAATTTTTTGAAAAATTTTCAACATATAAAAAGAAGAAGTGAATGAGATCAAAATTAAAAATCAAGTTTAAAACTTGAACATGTTTTTCAAATGCTTTT